GAGAAGTGCTGACGGGCTGGGTAGATGTCAGAGCCCAGCGCCAGGGCTGGAGACCCACCTCTGCCTCCCCAAGCAGCAGTGACAAGTGACAGAGCTGTCCCCAGGGACCCCAGCCCTCAACCTGGGGTGTCCCTGTCCCAGAATGCCCCATCCCAGACCAGCCCTCACCCCAGGAAACACCAATATAGACCCCACTAAGCCCAGCCTGAGCCATGTCGGGGGCGAACGCGGCTTTGCTTTGCCAGGGTACATCCAGTGCCCATCCTGGGTGATGATCTGCTACCTCCTCGCTCCGCACAAGGGCACGGAGGGACCCTGTCCTGAGGGATGGGCTGGCGTGGACCCCCCCATGCCAGACCAGCCCCTCTGCGCTCCTGGGGCAGGACCACACGGCCGTGGTGCGGTGTGGGTCTGGCCCGGCGTGCCCAGCCCACAGCCAGGGCGGGGAGAAGCCTCGTGGTGCCCAAGGTGGGGCCAAGGGGCACATGGGGGGGGCCCAGCGCATCGCCCGGGACCCGCAACTCACCATCGAGGACGTGAAACTCATCTGCAGAGTCACAAAACCCTGCAAGAGAGAGAGCCCGGGGCGGTCACCCTGCCTGGGCACCCGGGACCCCCCGGCCCTGCACCCCAGGGACGCTGTGGGGCACAGCCCAGTCCTCGCACCTTGCGTCCTTGTCCCTGGGGTGGCGGCAGCGTGGGGACAGACCCCACACGTGGCCCTGCTGTGGGTGACACGGGGCCATAAGCTGCTCAGACCCATGTGGATGTGCCTCCCCCCCCATGCTGGAGGGGACGGACCCCAGTACCCACTGCCAGGCCCCTCCTGGGCACAGCCCTCGCCGCAGGTGCCCCTGCTCCCAGGGGACTCCGTGCCACCCACCGTATGTGGGGAAGTAGTAGGTCACGTCTTCGCTCAGGCCCACAGCCCTGACGCGCTGCTCAAACTTGTCCACGACAGCGTCACTGACCTGGCTGGCCCGTCCTACGCGGGGAGGGAGACGCCATCAGCGGCCTCGAGGTCTGCCCCAAAGCCCCCCCTGCCCCCCGCCGCAAAGCTCAAGGCCAAGGGGTCGTTCAGCTCAGAGAAGCTGGTTACCGGCTCCCCCCCCCCAGCATTTGGGGACAAAACTCTCCATCTGGGGACCAGGACCCTCAGGGAGACCCCACCTCTGCCTCTGGGTCCTCCGGGGCTCCGGCGGGCATCCCCCGAGCCCAGCATGGGCTTCCCACCCCTCTCCTTCATCCGCCACAAGCCCCCGAGCACAGACCCACCGTAGAGCTTGACAGAGATGCTGCGTCCCTTCTGGTAGTAGAGGATGGCGTAGCTGCTGTAGTCCGTCTCGCCGCCCCCCCCCCCCCCCTTGCTGCCATAGCCACGGCCTGGGAAAGACAGAGGGCAGCCCCAGTTCATCCCGGTTAACCCTGGTTAGCCCCGGCACCGTCCAGGGGCCTCGTTTTGCCAGGAATGGGGTGTACAAGGGGTGAAAACCAGGGCCAGAGCAGGCGCAACCCCACGGGGTGCCGTTCCCCACCAGCAGGCACCAGTCTGCGGCACTGCCCATGATGGCATCCAGCACTGGGGCACTTTGAGACGTCGGAGGTGGAATACTGGGAGGGCACTGGGAGGGAGGACACTGGTACCAAAGCCCTGCCGAGAGCAGGAGTGGGGGGTTCCGGCTCCGCAGTCCCTGCACCCCCCCACCACCGCAGCCCAGCCTCCCTCACCCTTCAGGAGGAAGCGTCCGCGGGCCCGGGCAGGGAGGTAGCGCTGCCTGATTTCCCAGCACATCCCATCCCTGTACGGGGAGAGGAGGAGGCTGTCAGCACAGGCTGGCGAGGATCCAGCCCAGGTCCCTGCCCGCCCGCTTGCCAGGACACACACAGCCCTTGCCGTGGCCAGCACTTGTACCACCAAACATCCCAGAGGAGATCCCACCCACGCTTTGCTCCGGAGCAGCTCCCTCCGCCTTGGAGCCCGTGGCCGGGGCACTGGTCCTGCCCTGACCTGCCCGCAGCATCCCTGTCCCGTCCAGCGTCCCCTGTCCTCATCTCAGAGCACCGGCTCTGCTCTGACCTGCCCGCAGCGTCCCTGTCCCATCCAGCGTCCCCGTCCTCATCCCAGAGCACCAGCTCTGCTCTGACCTGCCCGCAGCGTCCCTGTCCCGTCCAGCGTCCCCTGTCCTCATCTCAGAGCACCGGCTCTGCTCTGACCTGCCCGCAGCGTCCCTGTCCCACCCAGCGTCCCCATCCCAGGGCACTGGCCCTGCTCCAGCCTTCCTGCAGCGTCCCCATCCCACCCAGCGTCCCCATCCCCATCCCAGGGCAGCGGCCCTGCTCTGCCCTGCCTTCAGCGTCCCTGTCCCTGCCTGTGGCCTCGGTGGCCGGTGTCACTCACAGCTTCCTGAAGGTGCTGATGGCCAGGCTCTGCCCATCCAGGATGGTCACCATCACCGCCGTGGCCTCCAGCCGGTGGCTGTGCTCCGCCAGGTAGCTGCAGCGGGAGGCCAGGCCGACCAGGAACCATCTCCCTGCCAGCTGCATGGCACGGGGGTGGCACCGTCTGCCAGGTCACCACCCCGGGGTGCCACCACCCCGCTGCCCCCAGCGCCCACCACCCCCAGCGCCCTTCTTCTGTGCTGTCTCTGCTCACTTGCCCCCTCTGCCCACAGCCTGGCCCCGTGGCCTGCCCACGGGCCACGACTGCCCTGGTTCGGGAGCCGGCGGGTGGGACAGAGCAGGACAGCCTGGCGCGGGGACAGGCGGGAGCCGGGGGGCTGCAGGGAGGGGGTGTCCCAGGCATCCCCCCACGCCCCGTACGGCCAGGGAGGCTGCCAGCACCTGGTCCGCACCCCCCTGCAGAGGCCTGAGCTCAGCCCCACGGCCGTGCCTGGTGCCGCGGGGGGCAGGCCG